ACAAGATGCAAACAACTCATCAGCAGTAAGAATCGGAAGGCCAGACTGGAATTAATAAATAAATACAGAGACGAGCCACAAATGTTCTGGAACCAACAGTAACCTCTACCAAAGTGATGGAAAGGCCAAAGTGTGGAGAAAGGATCTGCTCATGACCCAAAACATACGAGCTCATCAGTCAAGCACAGTGGAGTTAGTGTCAAGGCTTGGGCTTGCATGGCTGCTTCTGGAACAGGCTCACTAATCTTTATTGATGATGGAACTCATGATGGTAGCAGCAGAATGAATTCAGAAGTCTACAGAAACATTCTGTCTGCCAATTTACAGAGAAATGCATCTAATCTAATTGGGAGGAACATCATGCAGCAAGACAATGACCCATATTTTATTGTTATTTACTTTAATTCACTTTAAGACTATCTGTTCCTATACGTTTGCTCACCTAAAAATTGGGTGGTCATGTCTAAGTTATTTAACACATCTAGATGTAAATATCAGGAAATGAAAGCTGAAAGCTGAAACAAAAGAACTGACCTTGCCATTCCCATACTTCAGGAGTGGACTATATTTTCACATACTGCAGCCTATTCAGGGAATATGTGACACAGTCGGTGAAACCCTTATTCTTTTACTATAATGTAAAAAGCAATGCTTTGGTTTTCACTGTGTTATCATTAAGGAAAAAAGTATTTATTACAATTACTTATATTTGTTGATGTTTGACCATTTTTGGTGACGTGATATTATTTCTCTTTAATAATCATATCTGCATTTTAGCTCAATGAATAGATCACTTTATTATACAAGCTGATGAAATTATAGAGCAATCATAACATCTAGCTGGTTATCAAACTGGCACAAAGGTAAAAAATTATATAATTGTTTGTCATATTAAGAAAGTATCCTGTAGCTTTATTGCTATAGACATTTTCCTAAAATCAGTTGTTACTGGCATCATTTCCCAGAGTAAGATTTAAGACTAAATTGGTTACCTTCTTTTTTAGAAGCCAATGTCGCTAGTAAACAAAAATTGGTATTAATAGTTATGTAGATTTAGAAAAATCTCCTTTAGATGCTGCATCTCCTTTAAATATTTCCAGTAACTCAGCTAGAGCAATATAAAAATTCAGTGGCAGCTCATCCATAGGTGCAGGTAGAGCAGAGTCTCACCACATATATAAGCTGTTCATCAAATATTATTCTTTATAAAGTCCTCATTCATAAATTCATACAATTTATTTTCCATTTTGAGTGACCAACAATTATTATTATTATTATTTTTAAATTTGCTATTTTACAGGTATAAGCCAATGTTCCGTTCATTTGCTCACCTGTCTAGATGTTGCACAATCTTGGAGCAGCATGTTCACTGTCCCATTTAGCTCCATAAAGCTATTATTTCACCTAGAGGTCAAAAAATGGGAACTGCAACAAGCACAGGAAGATGCCCACTGGGACAGGAATCACACTGCCCCATGCTCGCTCTAGAACATTTTCAGTGAAGGAGGAGCAGCAGACAGGATGATTAATGAAAAGGTTGCCAAATTGGGCTAGTTAAAAAATAAAATAAAATCTTGCAGTTGACAAGATCTTAGATTAATAAACTAAATTTAATCTAATACATTTCTGCAAACAAATGTAGAATGTAAATGCAGACAGCGGGTCTATGATATACAGAACCGTTTCTATTGTAAAATTTATTGCAAAGACTGGGAGAGGAAAAGGAGGTTATGGAGGGGAAAGTGTCTGTATATCAGAAATGCATGTGCACCATGGTGACCTTTTTTCCCACACAAAGACTGTGAAAAAGAAGAAAAATATGTCTCTCTTTTCCAATGCCTGAATTTTTTTGGGTTAGTTTCAAGTCTTGTGTGGTTTTTGAGATGTAGTGGGGGTGCATTTTTTTTTGTGAAACCTGGCAAGCACACCTGCTGTTTCAAACACAATTCAACAAACATCTAAAACCATTCAAAATGAGCTGCTAGACTGTATGCTGTAGGAACTTATGCTGTTGAATCTCAACTGCCTATTATACTTAAAAAGTTTCACTGTATAGTAGTCTATAGCATCGTGTGATAGCCTCTTGACTCTGAGGCTTTGTTATTATTAATGACATCCTGCCCTACCAATCTATGTTCATGAGCCACTGCTGGGCAAGTTTATCAAAAATGTCCCAATACACTCTGTTTAATGCCTTTGACATGATCCAGTGGCTTTTACACTCAGTGTAGTACACTATATGTCACATACAAAGAAACCTACAGTACTGTATATAGTATGCATCAAGACTTGTGATCATATAATCAGAAAATTTTAAAGCATATGTAGATATAAAAATACCTAAATGGAATTAGTGGCAAGTAAATTGACTATATTTCTAAAGTTCATTTGCTTATATAGTTTTTAAAAATATAAAAATATTACATGAACAAATATGGTATGTTGCTAATTTTTGCTGTTAATTTGTTCTACATTGTTGCAAATGGCAACAAATACTAATAATGAACTGGAATGCAGAAATCTGTCTCACACTGCTACATTACATACACTGTAGCATAAAGGGTCATTTCAGGCATTCTGAGGATTGTGAGTGATCAGCTATTATCATTACTGATTGAGTAGAATATTTTAAAATCTGACACGGCTGTCAGCCATGCATCACCCTGACACCAAAATGTCTTCTCCCACAATAATCTGTCATGAGCATTCCATTTAACTTTCTGGTACATTTCTCAATTTAAATTGTTTTGCCTTTTTAGGCTTACCTCACACCCCACACAGTGTCATGGTTATGATGCAGATTGTTATTTTTGGTCTACATGGATTGGTAAAGAAATACTTTATCAACAATTACTGGTGCTATACACTGCATGGATATCTCTTTTGGGATCAGACACAGCAGTATAAATCTTAAAATCCCCATAGATTATTAACTTGATTTGTACTATTTCATTATGTCATGTTTTAAATAGTACATTTTGTATGCATGTTCTCCAGGTCCTTATCGGGCAGAATAGTGGGAGGTGTCTGGTGGTTCTTCACCCTCATCATCATCTCGTCCTATACTGCTAACCTGGCTGCCTTCCTCACAGTCGAGAGAATGGTCTCGCCCATTGAGAGCGCAGAAGATCTAGCCAAACAAACCGAGATTGCCTATGGAACGCTGGACTCAGGTTCTACCAAAGAGTTCTTTAGGGTGAGTTTGCCTTCGTTTTGTACTTGAACCTTCCTCAAAAAAACAATAAAGTATTAGACCTGACAGGAAATATTATTGTCTAATTGGGTTAATCAGAAAAGTGTGTATTCAAATAATTTGTTGAGTTTGGTACCAATTATTCATCCAAGTAATTGGATGATCACCGATTAAACTTATTTAGCTTATTTAGCATTTCGGGCTAAAGAAATGACCAAGCTCTAAGGTACTCTAATGTTTACTCCAATTTACTTTACGGAGTCACTGAAGTTTCACATTATTCCAGCCATACAACACAGTACGAGATGGATTTCCCTCTTTCCTAATTACGTAATCTAATCAGGTAACATGGTATTGTGTAAGTGTTGCAAAAGTACAGTACAGTTACAACAACAACTTCCCCTTTATATGATTTTTGAAATTGCTGGCTGTTAAAGGAGGTTGAAGTTGCACAGCCAGTACTGTGTACAGTAGGTTCATCAGAGTCAGGAGGGTAATGGGGCTCAGAGGTGATAAAGCAGTCTAATCAAAGCCCGTAGCTCATCCTTCCATCCAAAGAAGTCAAATCCCCAAATATAATTAGTTGCTTTTCCTGGGCAAGCAAATTGGACATGATGAAAAAAGGCCCTGGGGGTCAAATAGTGCACTTGAAAGACAGGGGGAGATGAAGTAAGCAATATGGCCACAGGCACAGAGGGACTGGTGCTGCAATTAAGGCTGAAATTAACTATCAGTGATGTTTAGACGAGAGGCAAAACTGATTTTGGATCTACTTTACAGCATTAATCATCATGTCTTGTCTTTAAAGGTATAGTATATTGCAGTGTACTGTTTATTAGAACAACTGCACCATGATTGCATTGCAAGGGCGGGTAAATCAGTAACCTGGGCACCTGGGACAAGCACATTATTTTAATTTTTTATTCGTAGTTGCCTTGCAGACAAGTAGGTTCAGTGGGCTTCTGATAAAGTTCACAAGAATTTTTTTCTCATCCAGCAGCCAGAGAAATAAAGAAAAAAACTACTTCCTATTGGCATGTTATGCATGTTTTAACTAGGGATGATTATTCATGAACAGATGAACAGATCATTTGTTCTAAATAGATACAAATATACTATAGATATGAATAGGAACAGCTTGTTTGTTTGTTGTACACTGACAAATCTAGCAAAATATAGCGTAGCGCAAAGTCGTAATATAACTCCTGCTTATTACAGGTAGTCACCTAGCAGTTATTGTATCAAGAGAAAATAAAGACACAAGACTCAAATAATACCTTTAATGTTTGATGTAAGTAGAGAAAACCACAGCTCATAGTCGAAACGTCAGCCAGTTACTTTGTCATGGGTGTAAACATGATGTGTTACTACAGAAACTTTTTTAGCAGACTGTTCCTGCTGTGGGATTTCATATAATCTTTCATTCCATTAGTCTGTATTAAGGCACTTACACTATATCATCAGTAGTATGTGGACACCTGACCATCGCACCTACATGTGGCTCTTCCCCAAACTGTCACAAAGTTGAAAGCACACAAGTGTCTAGGATGTCTTTGTATGCTGTACCTTTAAGATTTTCCTTTCTAAGGGGCCCAAACCTGTTTCGTCATCACAATGCCCCTATGCATAAAGTGAGCTCCATAAAGACATAGTTTGCCAATGTTGGAGTGGGATTAATTGGAATGTCCCCATAGCCATTTTCTAAAATCTAGTGCAAAGATTTCCCAAAAAAATTGCAGCAAAGGGGGTCTAAATTTGGAATGGGATGCTCAACAAGCACATATGGTTGTGATGGTCAGGTGCCAGGGGCATGGTGGCTTAGTGGTTAGCACTGTTGCCTCACACCTCTGGGGTTGGTGGGTTCGTATCCCACCTCTGCCCTGTGTGCACGGAGCTTGCATGTTCTCTCCGTCCTTTGGGTCTTTCCTCCGGGTACTCTGGTTTCCTCCCCCAGTCCAAAGACATGAGATGTAGGCTGATTGGCATTTTCCAAATTTTCCATAGTGTGTGAATGGGTGTGTGTGTGCGATTGTGCCCTGCAATGGGTTGGCACCCCATCCAGGGTGCACCCTACCTCGTGCCCCAAGTCCACTGGGATAGGCTCCAGGCTCCCCGCAACCCTGTGTTGGATAAGCGGTACAGAAAATGGATGGATAGTCAGGTGCCCACATACTTTCGGCCATATACGTAGTGTAACTAACTCATAGTTTGCAATACATTATTACATATAATTATCCACCAACTTTTTAGCCTAGTCAGCTTGGTTGTCAACTAAAACATGACTGGGCAAGCACACTGGAACTTTCCGCTGCTCACTGGGTAAGCTAACCCACTCAGCAAATTTCCTTTAGCTTAGATGTGACCCACATATGGGAGTTAATGATAGCCCAAATCCAGCCCACGCTGTACTGCCAAAGGCATGTAGTTACACATGATACATATACTAAGAGTCAGCCAAATCAGAAAATTTCATATGTACAGCCAGAGCAGTGGCACAACAGAGCTACATCTCTACCAGAAGTGAGCCATGGTAGAAATGTTTATAAAGCTCACATCAGGGTGGAATGTTTATATTGCTGTGTTCTGGCCCTTAAGTGGCCCAAATATGGCTGACAAACTAAAATCTAGTGGAACCCTGGATCTTAACCGAGACACCTCCAAGCCCAAATTAATCTACAGTTTAATCACATTAATCAAATTGGGAACTGGGAAAGAATTTGACGTCCCCATCCCTGCATTATACTTTTTGATGACATCATATGTCCTGAAGTTTAATTCATTTTAAGCACTTATATAAGCTCTTTGCCATTTCGAGAGATCACAGTAAACAAGCATACATTACCAAAGTATGAGGTTATACAAGCTGTGTACAATACAAAAGGACATAAAGACAGCATTTTATAGTGAGTATGTATTTGTTAACACCGAGGGGCTAAAATGGATGTGTACATGCTGAGAAGTAAATGGAAATGGAATGCAAAAATACAGAACATACTGTACTGAACTTAACCAACTCCATTAGTTGGAGGATGCGCTTGTTTGCTGGATGCTGCTTACTGAGTACCTCAGCCAAGTTCCATCAGTTACAGGTTTGTTTGGTGGCAGATTTTTGATGTTATTAAAGGTTTACAGTGAGACAACCAGATGCCCATTAGGGACTTGCACATCTCCCACATTCTATATAATGAGTGTCCTACTTACATGGTGAGGCTTTCAAATCTGAGATGACATGTGTGAACCACTGTTCCAGGGGGCTTTTAATTAAAACTATCAGAGGGCTGACAGGGGAAAAAAAATACTGATTAATGGGGTTCGACTTCTATTTCAGATCTGGTTTTCAGGAACCACATTCTGGTTTAATTAGACCCAGACGGCAGAAAGCAGCTGGATGTTTCAGATCAGCCACAACATTCTGAGCGAGACATATGTCATCTTTTGACACAGTCCCCGCCGTTTACTTATTTATATTTTTTTTCCCGTAATCATCTCTTATGGATTTGCAAAAAACTCATTGATGTGGGTATTTAGGGCGAGTGCCAAGATTCTGGAGCAAGCAGAGCAATACGATATGCATGCTGATATTTCTACCTGTGCCGCCTTGCTGGGATATGTATTATTTAGTTCCTGCCTGGATCTTTTAGGGATAGGTGTGGGATGCACTGCAAATCCTCTGGGGAAAAAACACTATAATTATCTAAGTACAATAAATAGTAATAGTAACATAGTAGCACCAGCAATTGTTGATAAAGTATTTCTTTACTGATCCATTTAGACCAAAAATAACAATCTGCATCATAACCACGACAGTGTGTGGGGTGTGAGGTAAGCCTAAAGAGGCAAAACAATTTAAACTGAGAATAGTACGTAGTAATTTAATCTAATCAGAAGTAGTGATGTTAAAACACTCCTGCCAATGACCAAAAATGGAGCTTTCTACAAAATCAGCTTATTGAAAGAAAAGTCCCATAGGCTAGAATGCATAGAATGTATAAATATTTTACACCACTAGCCGTTGATGAAACATTTATATTCACGTTTATTTTTGTAGTACCAGATTAATATTTTATGCTACTTGCATTAAAAATATTTTTTTACATAGCTTTATACTTTACATGGCTTTATAAGTTTAAATAAATAATTTGCAGCTGGATTAAAAGAGTGCAATTCATGCAATGGTGCAAAAAAAAGTCCTTTCATTCCAAATTGCTAATTTCTCTCTATGTTTGAAATTACACCAAATAGTGAGTTTTTTCTTATGACATGCATTGGCATACATACATCTATCCATAACATAATGAAATACACCTAATGAAAAAACACACCTATTGAAAAATACTTAAATGATGGAATTAATTTTCAAGGAGACATGTGGTATGAAATCTTTAACATCTTTAAGATAATGCCTGTGCATACAGCATGTAGATTTAAGTTCCTGAGTATTCAGCTGGATAACAGTTTTTACTGTAAAGTAGCAATTTTTTAGTACTTTATATTAGCAATTTTTGGTTTATGAACAGCATGAATCACATAACTGCCCAATGTTTGTCCTGCTTATCATGGAAATGCTGCAGTCTGCACGAATTGATCTCATTTTCTCCTGCCAAAGACAATACACACTGAAAGAACCACAAAACAAATAAGAGGATGATATGCTGCAAGGATGAAAAAAAAACACTTGATCTTTGATCAATTGCTCCGTAAGGTGCCTACATCTGTCTCTTCAGTAATGTGCACCAGCTGAAACAGGAAACTCCCATGGTGCATCCTGCAGAACACCACACGTGTGCCTTCCCACTGAGTGAACACTTGCTACAGGCACATTGCAACTGTCTCATCATACCCACAAATCACAGCTACAACAGTGCTAACTAGCCACTGCTGAAATTTAAATGCAAGACTATAATGAACGTGAAATAAAAATACCATTTATATGGTCTAATCAAGCAGATTATTCAACATACCTTGGAATTATAAGGTTCTATAAATGAGTTAATATCATCAGTGTTATTTATTGTTATAGCACAGTGCTTGTTCTGTGTTTATATTAAAGTTATCATTTCAACAGTACCAACTTACAAAGGGACTTGTATGGTGGATGCTTCACATGAACGGATTTTAAAAATGTGTGTAATTGTTGCTATGGTTTTCAGTCGGTTTTCTGTGAGGAAACATTTATTTAGCGTTATTTATGGAAGGAGTCTCCAGAGTTTGTGCTTTGTAACAGTCATAGGTAAAGCCGTAACTTTGTTTTCCAACACGGGAAAGTCTTCAGAGTGCTGCACACTATGCTCAGAGTGTGATTAGCTGGCTTTCACACAGGAAACAGGAAAATTGCAAGATTCTCTTCATTCTGTTTCTCACCGTAGCAGCTGGTAGGCAATAATATGTGATTAAACCAACTAAGGGATGCACTCATTTGACATTTGGGGCAGTTTGTTATGGAATCATAATAATGACTTCTTCGAACTTTTTTGGAAATCATTATAGCGCAATTTCTACCAGTGTTATTTGATACATATGGTATACACTCTATGGTCAAAAGTATGTGGACACTTGACCATCACACACACATATTCCAGATTTAGTTCCCCTTTGCTGTTATAATAATCTCCACTCTTCTGGGAAGGCTTTCCACTAGATTTTGGAGGGTGGCTGTGGGGATTTGTGCTCATTCAGCCACAAGAGCATTAGTGAAGTCAGGCACTGATGTTTTGCGAGGAGGCCTGGGGGGCAGTTAGCATTCCAGTTCATCCCAAAGGTGTTCAGTGGGGTTGAGGCCAGGACACTTGATTTCTTCCACACCAGCGTAGCAAACCATGTCTTCATGGACCTCGCTTTGTTCACAGGGGCACTGTGATGCTGGAACATGTTTGGGCCTCTTAGTTCAAGTGAAGGGAAATCTTAGCGCTACAGCATACAAAGACATTCTACACAATTGTGTGCTTCTAACTTTGTGGCAAAAGTTAAGGGAAGAACCACATATGGGTGTGATGGTCAGGTGTCCACAAACCTTTGGCCATATAATGTATAATCAGCTGTGCTGTATGTATGTTATGTTAACCACCCACAAATAAGCATTAGGAACTGTCATAAAATCTTTCAGGGACGGGGTTCAAATCTGAAATTAACCCCCTAGCTACACCTCTGAATATGTATTAGTCGAAATCGACAGATTAACTATACTGGAACAGAAAAAGGTAGAATCAGTATGGACTTTACTGCATTCAAAGCACGAAAATCAATTTTACATCTGAGCAATTATGGCACAAGAACTCCGGAGCTCATATAATAGGTCTGTATAAATGTATAAACTAAGCTTTCTCTCCACAACCAGACTTTCTCTCAACCCAGGCTTTGTGGGTGGAAAATGTGTGAGGATAGAATGAAGAACACCAACAACAAGCTGCTATATCCTTCAACGGGAATTCTGTCTCCACAGATAATCATGTCTAACTCCAACTGAAACATAAGCACTGGAGCACCAAGACTCAAATTGTTTGGTATTCCAGGTATTAGGCACACAGATGCCACAGTAAGCCTCCTTCACTCCTTCCTGTACCAAGACAGTTTAACTAAATTTCACTGAAATCCCTGAGTTTCTAGGTATTAAGAAGAAAAATATGTATTATGAAATACTTTATAAATGCATAAGCCCTTGGCATAACAAGCTGAAACTAGAATCCCACTTACAAAAAAAAGCACTGTAGATAATATATGAGAAAGTTTTAAGTAATATTGTCATAATGCCTTGGTGCCATTATTTTGGGCTGAATAACTTTCCTGTGTTTTGTAGTATTTACAATGTACTTTCCTGCTTAAACAAGTAGCATCATTACCGTTTCTACTCAAAACCTTGTTTCTCCGAAATATCATCAAATCCT